GCTAGAACTACTATGCTGAAAATGATACCATAAGGAAATAAAAAAATTCACAGAAGCACAGAACTACTATGCTGAAAATGATACCATAAGGAAATGAAAAATTCACAGAAGGGTAGAAAATGCCTAGAAATTTTATGCCTGATAAAGAACTCACATCTAGAACAGTGGCAGTGAAACTATGCCACACATGTTATTTTTAAGACAAAAGATGTTAATGCATGAGTTGTTATTTCTAAAGTAAAACTGCAGTACTCAGGTTTAACTTCAGTGCTGGCACTCTGTGATAAGTAAGCGGGTCTGGGTTGGAGTTTGGGTATTCCTCTCTAAAAGGTTCGCCATCACTGATCCAGAGTATTTTTAAGAAACGGGCAAGGATTTGAGCATTCCTTAAAAGATAATATACAAATGACTGATGATAACATACCAAATACTCAACATCATTCGTTAGTCCTTAGGAAAACGCAAATCAGAATTACAGTGGGCTGTTACTTCACACCCACCGGAATGGCTAAGGACAGACAATACCAAGGACTGGGAGGATATACAGCAACTGGGATGCGATCACCCTCGGAAAGCGCTGCTGTCACTCGGGGGCGTGCGCTGCACCCTCAGCAGGCTGGCTCGCTCTGCTCTGTGAGGCTCCTGCCAGGACGCTGGCCGAGGGGCCCAACAGAGCAGCAAAGCTCTCTGCGTCCGCACGCCGGCACCTATCTCCAGCGTCTACATTCCAAGGTTCTCTCTAACATCCTACTACTTCATCCAGTCCACCCTCACTCCACAGACGAAATGAGACCCACAGGGTTTCAGGATCTCGCCTCAAATCCACAGCCAATTAACAGCAGAGTTAGTACTGGAACTGAGGTCCCCGGACTGCAGCCTGACGCTGCCTTCACCAGGTGGCGCTGCCTTTCTAGCTGCACCTCCCTCCAGTGCTCAGCCCTTCCCCGCTGTGCGCAAAGGGGCAGACCAGGCTCCAGCACGCTACTGAACACTACTGGACACAGTCCAAGAGATTACTGCTTCAGTCCCCGGACCGCACAAGAAAAACAGAACTAACAACGCATATGGAAAAGTAAATAGGAAACAAATGCACATCACACACAGGTTCAGAGCCGCCTAAGCACAATAATCACCGCATACAAGGACAACTGAAAGCCCTCATTCCTTCCTTCCAACATTTGAGGAGAGGTTACAGAGTACAGTGGTACTTTTTTCTTGTTTTGTCTTTTTGAGACAGGGTCTCGCTATGCAGTTAAGGCTGGCCTTGAACTCAGTTTGTAGCCCAGGCTGGCCTCGAACTCACAACGATCCCCCTGCCTCAGCCTCCAGAGTGCTAGGATTATATACAGGCTTGCACCACCATGCCTGGTGGGACCTTGATTCACGAATTTAACTCTCTTTTGTATCAGATTTCATTTTTAAAATTAAGACTGGGATAGGGAGGGGAAGAAGCGTTGAAGGGAGGAGAGGGATTGGGAAAAAAAGAGGAATCAAAATATATTACATACAGGTACAAATTCCCTATGGTGATCGTTATGTATATCTAAAATGTACCAATACACTTAATTAAAAAAAATTCAGACTGGGGGGGGGTCATAAATCTAGCCTGAGAAGGGCCTAGGAGTACACAACCGTTATAAACTCCAAAAATTTACATTCAGAGAGTATTATAGTAATGAAGTTTATTTTATTCTTGTGTATAATTTGGGCTTCTGGCTCTGTTAAAACTTAAATTTACTGTGCTAAGAGGCTAGCATCCAGGTTTAATGTTCTATTTATCTCGGTATTTTAATGCGTCATATGAAAGACAACATTTGGAATCCAAACATAACCATCATCTCCAGGATAGAAATTACAAGTTATTCCAGTCCTTATACGTAAACCACATGTCCACATGGCAGCCGCCTTCAACACCTTCAAGTCTCGGTGTTATAGGTAAGGTCTCCCACCAACATTAAATAATGTTAAATATGTAATCTTTGGTTCACCAATAAGAGGAAGTGAACATTTTATATTTGAAGTGTTAAGGTCAGTTTATTAAGTTCAATGATCAAAGCTATCAGAAGAATATTTTCCTGAAAATCATTTTTCTTAGGGAAAAAAAAAAAAAGGAACCAGCACTTGGGAGGCCGAGACAGAAGGATTGCTCTGAGTTTGAGGCCAGCTTGGGATAAAAGTGAGTTCAAATCCAGCCTGCACTATATAGTGAAACCCTGTCTCTAAAAAGATGAAAAAGAAAAAAGAAAAAAAAAAAAAAGGAAAACCCTCTCAACATGGCCACCAAGGCCGCGGCTGTCAAGCCCCGCTAGAGGGGGAGACTGTGCGCCCCTCTGGAGCATCACTCCCTGGGTCAGGACTGTGGTCTGGATCATTCTCCACGTCCTCCAGCTCCAAGTCACCCACTCCCGGAACAAAGATTCTCCTACTTTGACATCACTTCCAGCGTCTTCCAAGAACGGGGTGTCAGACGTGTCAGGACTGTGATCTGTTTCAAACAGCTGTTTGCCGTTTCATGTATTTCCTGCTTGTTCTTTCATCCGTTTCTTGTTAATAGAGTTCTACATCAAACTTGGTTTTCCAAGGTAAGAAATTCTCAACTGTAACAGGGGTGCCATGGAATAGTTGCTTTTCTGCTTCTTTTTCTTTTAGTTTCTTTTCCTCCTCTGTCTTTTTTTTCTTTTAGGTGGGTACCAGAAATCAAACCCAGCACCTCAAACCTGCACAGTAAGCGCTGCACCACTGAGCTGTATCCCCGGCCCCTTCCCCCTCTTCTTGTTTTTATCTGATCTATTTCACTTAATTTTCCTTGCACAGCTGTTCCTAGGTAAAGATTCTGACCACACCAAGATTTTCCTCAGCCTACAATGCTAGTAATGTTAAACTGTTTTCTCCAGCCTCCGAGGTGCAGTAAGTGTGAGGCTGGGCGGGTTCCCTGGTAACAAAACGCTTGGGGGAGTTGGGGCGGGTGGACTCAGAGCCTCCAGCTCATTTCGCTCTCCTTGCTGTACTCTTGTCATCGCAGCCCTGCTGCCGCCCTGGATCAGGCCAACACGCAGGCAGCGCCCTACAGCTGAGCCCTGAGGCCCCTGCCAGGCCTGGCCTGCTCGCAAACTTAATTCTTTCCTTGATTCTGGTTTCAAACCAAACTGGACAAGAACTGAACCAAATTCAGTGGCTAGATTCAATGTTGACCTTATGGGGAAATCTGATTTGGTTCTCGTCCAATTCAGTTACCAGAATCCTGGAAAGAATTAAGTTCATGAACAGAGGTACCACTGTACTAGGAAAGTCTAATATAATGGTCATCAAAAATGTGTGGTACTGTAGTCAAAACAAACCTTCTTAAAAGCGCAGTACTGAAATTTTACACTGTTCCCCCAAACATGTACAACTGCTATGTGTGGATTAAAAATATGTTTTAAAAAACCACGCTGGGTTCTTGTTCTCATAGAGATGAGTAAAGGAAACAAGTTAAATGACTCCAACAAAACTGTAATAAAAACTGAAACCAGTGCTGGGAGGAAAATGAAGCAGCACAGCAAGTTATGATCCCATTTTAGGATAAGGAAAAACTTGTAGCGAAATGAAATTCAGTGTCTTTAAGGTAGCGGAAGCAAGTGAGGAAAGAGAAATACAACGTTAACAGGTGCTGTGGTCTGAGCACATCTCCAAGGCTTGCGTGCGGCAGTTTGGTCCCAGCGCAGTGATCCTGAGAAGCGGTGGAATCTTCAGACGCTGGGCCTCGTAGAAGTGGTCAGGTCATTCGAGGCCTGGCCCTGGGAAGAGATGAATTCCAGCTGGTTCCAAGAGCAAGTCGTTACAAATACAGGCAGCCTGGCCCCGGGCTCTCTGCCTGGCTGCTCGTCTTGCCGTGTGAGCTCTCTTCTGTACCACCATTTCCTCTTGGTTCTCTGCCGCTGTGGCACGGCCAAGGGGCCCTTTCAATTCTTTGAAAGGTGCCAAGGAATTTTCATTGATTAGAAATCTGAGGCCAGTTTTACTGACGACATCTTCTTCAAAGCGCTTTAGTCTTGCCACAACCCAGAGCTTTGCTGCAGCAAATACTAACCCTAGAGCCTGCTGAGTGTAAACATCTGAACTGTTGTGACCATCCTCTCGGCTGGACTGAGAGACACCTAGCAGAATAGCAGGTGTGTCTGTGGAGTGCTTCCACAGATGACTGCATGTAGGCTGCAAAAGCAGAGGAAAGAGCTGCCCTGACTGTGGGTGGCACTGCCCCACAGCTTCACAGCCTGGGTGGAATGGAAGGGAAAGAAGAAAGAAGGACGCTTACCTTGGAAAAGCTCCATTCTGCTAGCAGGTGCATGTTTTTTGCGGTGGGTTGGGGTAGGGTGGGGTGGTATTTGAGACAGGGTCTCACTATGTAGTGCAGGCCGGCCTTGAACTCACTACGTAGCTCAGGCTGGCCTCGAAGTCCTGGTGATCCTTCCGCCTCAGCATTACTAGTGCTGGGGTTACAGATGTGCACCACCACACCTGGCTTAGCAGAGTATCTTTTGTTACTGCCATTGCCTGTGGACATCAGACTCCAGCTTCTCCAGCCTTTCACTATAGACCGTGCAAGCAGCTCTCCATGGAGCTCTCCAGTCTTTCAGCCTTGGACTGCAGCTGTCTCCGAATCCTTTTTGTTCTGTAGCTTCCATCTTCTTGGACTGAGCAGCTACTGGATCCTCTGGTTTTTCAGCTTGCTAAGTCACTATGGGGGATCCCGCCTCTGATCCTATAAGCCTATCTAGTAAGTCCTCTTGCAAACTTCTTGAGGACAAATTTATATATACAGTAGTTACATGTATTACATATAGTCATACATACTCATAAATTTTTTTTTCTATTGACTCTGTTCCTCTATAAGACCCTAACCAAAACCCCATTAGAGCTCTTTTCTCTTCCAGCTTTTTTCTACAGAGACTTCAGAGCCAAGATCGGCATTACCGTCAGTACAGTTGTCCACTTATCTCAAAAGAGGAGACTCTGCTCACCTGATTGTCCAGTTTCAGTTGTCGAAGCTTCATGGTCTCATCTTCAAAGGCACTGTTTTAAAAAACAAAAGAAAGTATGTGAAGAGAAAATGCCTTAAAACCTTGCCCATTCCCCGTTCCTGCACGCACTCTTCTGGGGTACTTGGAACCGGTCAGTTCTGGTGTGGAGAAAGCATTGGCTGCTAGCTGCTGCCCACAGTGTGAGGGGACCTGTCAGCCTTAATGCCACATTTATGCCACAGGGACTGAAGAGATCAAAACACACAAAGAATAAAGAACAGATGGCAGGACAAACCCAGTGCGTGCAGGGATTCCTTTTTTCTCTTCTGTTCTTTTTGTTGTTCTCAGGATGGAACCTAGGGCTTCATGTGGACCAGGCAAGGGCTTTCCCACTAAGCTATGTCCTCAGCTCCTTCTAGTTTTAAACATGTACTGAGGATTCCTTAGGTTCCCAACTCAGCACTAAGTATCAGTTGTCCCTCGCTATATCACGGTTCACTTATTGCAGCCTCACTGTATCGCGGGTTTTTAAAAAAACACAGTATCCAAACAGAATTTTACATGTTGTTAAAATTACGTAGGCTTACGAGTGTAGAAAGTGGTTAAGAGCATATGAAGTCTTATAGAGTGTGGGAGCCAGGCATGGTGGTGCACGCCTGCAATCCCAGCACTCAGGAGCCTGAGGCAGGAGGATCATTGCGAGTTCAAGGCCATCCTGGGCTACAAAGTGAGCTTCAAGGTCAGCCTAAACTGCATAGTGAGACCCTGTCTCAAAAAGACACACACACACACACAGTGTGTGGGAAAGGTTAGTAAGAGAGTGGAAAAGGTTTACAGGAGTGTGGGAAGGGTTTATAAAGTCTTGAAATATATATAATAAAATAAATATAATGCCACTATTTGACGGATTTTCATCTATCACAGGGGTCTCTGGAACATAACTCCTGCCACAGGTAAGGGATCACTGTCATATTTTATATGCATTATTTTATGTATTCCTCAAAACAACCCTAAGAATTAGGCTCCACTTTTTTTTTTACACATTTAACATGAAGAAACAGACTTGGAGAGTTATGCCTCAGTTTAAACAGCAGAAACAGACCTTAATCCTTGTTTCTAGAGTCTAAGTTACACCTAAGAATCAAATATATTTTGCATCTTTTTTTGAACTAGTCCTAAGAGAAGGAAAATGAAACAGTACGGGATCTTATTGGAGTTCTCTGATTTCTTTTTTTGAGGGGGGGGGTCTTTTTTGAGACAGGGTCTCACTATGCAGTTCAGGCTGGCCTTGAGCTCACTTTGTAGCCCAGGCTGGTCTTGAACTCTCAACGAACCTCCTGCCTCAGCCTCAGCCTCCCAAATGCTGGGATTACAGGCGTGCACCACCAAGCCTGGCCTTCCATCTTTCTTTTCTTTTCTTTTTTTTCTTTCTTCTCTCTCTCTCTCTCTCTCTCTCTCTCTCTCTCTCTCTCTCTTTCTTGAAACAGGGTCTGCCTATGTAGTTCAGGCCAGCCTCAATTTTGTGGCAATCCTCCTGCTTCAGCCTCTCCAGGGCTGGGATCACAGTCATGTGCTACCACGCCTGCCCTTCTCACTGTCACTTTGTCTGTCTGTTTGTTTTTTTGAGATAGTCTCATTAAATCGCCCAGGCTGGGCTTGAACTTGCAATCCTCCAGCCTCAGCCTCCCAGAGTGCTGGGTTTACAGACATGCACCAACACAATTAGCTTATGCTTTGCTTTTCTGAATGTTTTTATCCTTACACATCCTAAAGTTCTAGCCTCACTAATACTGTGCTAGAATATTACTGGTATTCAGTAGGTATTACTACAAATTTGCAAAGGTTCTACATGAAATGAGGATGACAAAAAATACTAATATTATATAGAAAAGGGTAACCTGGGGAAAAAAATCCAGTTACGGACTTGTAACTTTTCAAATAGCTGCTGCTCCAATAGATTCTGTCCTCAGCATTAAGCCAAAATTGTGATGCCTTCCCAATGACGCTAAGCTGTGACACACAACTAAAGCTCTAAACACTTCTCACAGGGCCTCTAACAGGGAAGAGACCAGGTGCGTCCTCACTGCCAGATGCAGCAGCACTGAGCTCCCTCCAGCGTGCCTGAGCAGGCTGGACGGAGGATCGAGCTCAGCATGGTGTCATGAACACATTTTGACCAGACACAAGGGAAAACAGATGCTACATAATGGTAACATTTAGATATCCCCTGTGTATGAAAAGCCATGCAGCCCATGAATGCTAAATTCATATTATAACTTAGCAGAAATAAAGATTTCTATTTAATATTCAATCTAAACTACAATTCCTCTTTCTTTCATTTCAAATTAAGTTATTGAATAGTAATGCCTAGCTGGTTATTAACTCAACACAAGACAGAAAGAATTCCTTTATTTATTAGTAATTCTTTAAAAATGTGTACTTGCCAGGCATGGCAGTACACGCCTGTAATCCCAGCTCTTGGGAGACTGAGGCAGGAGGACTGCCGCGAGTTGCAGGCCAGCCTGGGCTACACAGTAGGTTCAAGGTCAGCCTGAACTGCATAGTGACACTCTGTCTCAAAAAAAACCCAAAAATGTAGCTGGGGATGTAGCTCTGTGGTAGGGCACTTGTCCAGTACGCACAGGCCTTGAGTTTCACCCCCAGCAATGCTATTTAAAAAACAAATTGAATTCCCCCCAAGTTTTTCTTATCATGGAAAAATTTCCTATTTACTGATAAACGTAGGGGGAATGCTAAACATACACCTTGGAGGAGCACATCTACCATCCAAGCCTGGCGGACAATAATGCCCACAGATCACCGTTCTCTTTCATTAGTGTATGCTTACAATACACAACAAATACATTTACTGTGATATATACATTTACATCCACGTCTTGATCCCTCTTTTTCCCATTCCCTCTCTCCGTCTCACCCTAGCCCCACCTGAACTATTCTCTAATTGCCATCTAACTAGTCAGTCTTCACAGGTGATTCCCGCAAGCATCTCTACTGTGTAGTACACTGGGATTGTGCCCCATTCCCAATCATCTTGGTTTATGGACACCGAAGTTTTTTCCTACTCCTTCTGTACTATTATTCTCTTGTTCACCTATAAATAGTTGCTAAAAGTCTGCTAAAGGATGCCTCTGTTTATCCACTCCTGTATACTTTGTGTGTGTGGTGGTGGCAGTGGTACAGATGGAACCCACAGCTCACGCTTGCCAGGCCCGTGCTGTAGTACCGAGCTACATCCCCAGCTACACACACGTTTTCAAAGAATTACTAATTTGGTGTTGAATATTCACATAACGCAGGCACGTAACAGGCATTATATGTTCTTCCCTTTACCTGGTTTAAAAAAAAACTCACTATATGGAATCAAAGCAAGTATCTATCAGTAGTAAAATGGGCTGAGGGGTATCACTCAGTGGCAGAGGATACGTTTAGCACGCACAAAACCCTGTGTTTAATTCTCAGTAACCCTCTGCAAAGTAAAATGGCTAAAAGCTTTTGGTATAGTCACGCAATGGAATGTTGTACATCAATGAAAATGAATAAACTTCCTTCCAACATAAAAACATGAATGGGTAGTATCTATAATTACAGATAAAAGCGCCCATACAATAAAGAGTGTGATGGGTATAACAGGATATCTGACTGATGAAGACAGCTGAAAAGGTGATATATTCTTTTTTCTTTTTTTTTTTGGTCTTTTTGAGACAGGGTCACGCTATGCAGTACAGGCTGGCCTTGAGCTCACTTTGTATCCCAGGCTGGTCTCGAACTCTCAATGATCCTCCTGCCTCTGCCTCCTGAGTGCTGGGATTATAGGCATAAGCCACCATCCCTGGAGATATTTTCATTCTAAATAGAGGATTTCATATTATAAATCTTCAGTAATTAGCTGGCTGTATGACTGTTAAAATGCAACCTGTGGGAGCTCCCTGAGGAGCTAGCCAATCTCTCTGATTCTGAGGGAGCTGTTAAATCTGAGGCTGAGAATACAATCACCTATTCACTTCTTAAACTCCCAGAAGGTCAGGAGGGTGAAACACAGCCAGATTATCAGAACCACATTTAATCTCCATTATCTGGTTCTGGGATTGTGAGGGAGAAAAATCAGAGAAGCGAGAACTGTTATCTCCTGGCCTAAGGTTCCCTTGGAGAGGTCAAGAGGATGCTGCAGTTCCAAAGAGGGAAGAGGATTCTCCCAGGGTTCTGTATGTGAGTCCTGAAGTTCTTTGGCCTGACACCAACAGGAAATATGGGCCCCAGTGGCTGACTGACTCCATGCCTCAGCACTTCCCAACATCACGACTATCACACAGCCCCACAGCTAATGTAACTAATAAAATTACCATTGCTAAGAGATGTTCACAGCATGGGACAAGCTTATATTATGGGTAACATGAGAAAAATTAAATACACTTTGTGAAAAAATGGGGCGGGGATTCAGCTCAGTGGTAGAGTGCTTGTCTAGCATATGCCACGCCTTAGGTTAGACTCCCAGCATACGTGCACACAGGCAAGCACTCAACCTATGAAAAACAAATGTGCTATGTGTGACAAGGAATGACCAGTAAGATATCATAGGAAAGGTGAAGGGAAAAAACAAAACAAAGGTAGCTCAAGACAACAGAAAACAACGCAATTTCCAACACTTAAACCTCGTCCGTTATTCACACTTAACTGAAGATCTGATCAATACTCTCAAAGAAAAACCCTGGGTTTGACAACGACTTTTACATAAATGCACACACATTAAAAAAATAAATCAACAAGCTGAGCCGGTGTAGTGGCACAAGCCTGTAATCCCAGCACTCTGGGAGGCTCTGAGGCAGAAGGATCACAAATTCAATCCTCAGTCTAGGCAATTTAGCAAGACCCTGTCTAAAAAAAAACAAAAAATTTTTTAAAAAATCAACAAATTGGACTTCATTTAAAAAAATCTGTGTTCTGAAAAGATAAGCATTATGAAAATTAAAAGGCAAATTACACACTAGGAGGAAACAGATGGCCCCTAATTTACAATGATTTTACTATGCAATT